AGAAGTTTGTCCCCAAAGGGGAAGTACTAAGAGTAAATGTTCTTTCTTTCTCCTTTGCACGTGTCTAGGGGGACAAATGAGGTGTACACTAGGAGGTCATCGAACGATATGCGTTTCAGCTAAGTTAATATAATCAAGATGCCCCATTTTTTTATTTAGTTCTAATAACTTCAGCTCGTCGCGCGCTTATAAAGTATCTTCAAAAGTAAATCAATTATTTTTCAAAGTATTTGCACTTTACTGAAAATAGTTTGGCGCAAAAGTAACTTGAATACTACTCTAAATACTTTCTCACTTGGGTATTTAGTATCTTGTCTTAAATACTTTTGTCGAGTATCTTGAACAACACTGAAAATCGCTGACACCTGCACCATTTGAAGTATAGATAAAATAATCGGTTCAGATCGCCTAGACGCTGCAAACGAAAACCGCCTTGGTGTCGAAGCGCGAGGCAGTTGATCGGATTTGGTCGGACACAGTGGGTCTAACGAATACTGGCAAGTGGGTTCCTAGCGGGTTCCGGGAGGGTTGATGAGGTGATGATTTCAGCAATCCACCAGCCGGATTTCGGTGCCACACGAATCATGACATGATAGTCAGCTCTATGTACGCGAAATCATTAAAACATCCACCAAGCAAAAAGCACAGTACATCTCATTCACATCCTTCAGTCTTATCGACGAGAATAATTTAGCACTATGATTTCGTCTCGTCCTGCGATGGTCGTCAGCCGACGCCACGGCCCATTAGGTTCAATCGGGAGCCAGTCACGTAATGCATTACTTCGACGCGCGTATAAGAAAAGCACGCTAATGCACACGTGCCTATAACTGGTCTGTGATTGGACCTGGTGGGCCCTAACCTAGGTTGTAGATAGGGGCTCTAACTTTCGGAGAAATGCTATAAACTCCGTGAAACACTCGCCGGTAAAACTATCGCGAATTCGGATTTATCCGAACAACTCCGAATTCGACGGCTGTCAGTTGTAAAATCTTGAGCGGTCTTGACCTTTTCCAGGGATCCGAGGACAGGTTTTGCAACCGTTTTTCTTTTTCTCTTTTTTTTCGTAAGCGTCAAAGGAAGCGTCTTTCTCTGCACATATCCCTTTGTCATCCTCGTGGGCAACAGGAATTCAATAATCAGTCAGACTTTCGAAGTATCTGCACGGAAAAGGCAGGACTCTGCCAAGGAATACAGATATTTTGAAGTAACTGACAGAGACATTGTATTGCCTTTGAGGCTTTATCATACAACTTGAAAGTTTAATGAAAGAAAGAAAAAAAAAAAAAAAGAAAGAACACCCGGTTTATAAATCAACTTCTGGAGGGAATATGGTATCAAAAGGCTAGTTCGTTTCACCTTATGGGCGAGCGAAGCCAACGCTACAAGCGCGAGCATGCTGCTTGTAACAGCGCCTGTGGTGCACGTACGCACGTGCGAAGCCGGCACGCTCGGAGCCTTGGGCTCGCGCTTCTACCTTTGACTTCGCTCACGCATGACGTGAAACGAAGTATAGACACCGACACGCGGCTCCGACGCCGTCCCTCTGCGGTGGCGCTGCCTCGAGTACGGCGCACCACGCAGAGGCGGCTTCTCTTCAAAAACGAGACGCTGCAATTCCGCAGTGCCCACACCCGGTGTGGGCAAAGCAAAAACCGTGTTTGTAAACAGGGCGGTCTTCGCGCGCTCGTCTATAGCCAAAATTGCGGGCTCGCACCGAGAGATGCCAAAGCACGTATACTCTGCATAAACAAAAAAACAAAAAAAAAAACAAAAAAAAAAAACAAATAAATAAAAAATAAAAAAAAAAGGTCGGGCAGTGAAATCGCCGAGATGTCGCCACTCCGCACAAGCGATTGTGTACGAAGGCACCCTATTCACGGTGGCGAGACAAAAAAGAAAAAGAAAAAACGCCTGCTCCCCGCAAAATCAACCCGCAAAAGCCTGCCGGGTAAACGCGTGCGCAAACACCTGCAGGTCTTCCACGCGCGCGGACGGGTCTCCTCACTCTCTTTCTCATTCTTTCTCTGCGTGTCTTTGTTTTTATTTATTTCCCCCTTCGTTACCTCTCTTCCTCAACCCTCCTTTGCCCTAGAGCACTATATAGCTCCTTCGGAGCAGAGTAACGCAATCTAGAACGCCACCTCTCGGTGACTAGCGGCGAACGCCCAGAGGTTCCAACTGCGGTCAGAAATGCACGGAGAACGTGAGACAATCGCTGTTTCTTCAGTATTGTGGTGGTGTACGGAGTGGCAATTGTTTTTGACATAATAATGGAACATTTTAGAATAATTTGCGCTAAGTTTTGTGCCCCGCAAGGACCTGACTTTTTTTTTTAAAAATTGCTTGAGCGGCATCATGCAGCAGACGACACGGCGACGTCACACCATTCACGTGACCCGCTCCGGCCAACCCGAAAAGCCCATCTCCGCTGCGAGCAAAAATTGTCTGCTTCAAACGCCATTGCCTTGGAAATTGCCTTCTCAAAATTTGCACACGCATCCGATATTTTTAAAACTTTGATAAAGTGTTTAGTGCTTTACTAACTTCACGGCAGACTAGTTTTGAAAAGTGTGAACTCGCCGTTCATTTTTTAATCAGCCGTGTTGTATCGATCTCCATGTATTCTCCCATAGGGCGGGCCGCCTCCTGGAACCCTGAGTACCACGTGACTCGCGCCGAGCCGCTCTGTCGGCCATATTGTCGGCAAAACAAGGGGTTCAAAGGATTGCGCTACTCTGCTCCGTAGGAGCTATATAGTGCTCTACTTTGCCCCGGGTTCGTGGTATGTTCCGTTTCTCCTTACGATGGACCGCAGAGGACCCTACGAGCTAAGGAGCCAATCCAATGCCGCGTGAGCGGCACGTCAGCTTTAGGACAGACACAACGAAGCACGAGGCGCGTGGTACGTTGATATGCGCTGGATTGGCTGCTACGACTTGTAGCTCCAGTTCCGGTCCATCGTAAGGTGCGTGCAACGGCCGAGAAACTCGCTCCGCGAATGGGCACGTTGTTTGAAGCGAGGATCGGACGGGCAACCACGCGCAGTAGTCTCGGTTTGAAGAGGCACTGCCGTTGTTTGTGGGAAAGAACGTCGTCCGTCGTCACGTACGGCGACGCGGGGCTTGCGTCCTCGCCGTCGCAATGTTTAATCTTCGTCTGGCTACTGCAGAGCATAACCAACGTGTATGCTCTCAAAATAAACACCCAACTGTGTGGACAACAATTTAGACAAAGCGGCCCCCATATTTCGATCCGCTCCCCAATAGTCCAATTCACGAGACGCTCTCACTGCTCAGTAATTATTTCTAAGCCAGTTCATTCATGCTATAACGAGTCGTAAAAATTCATCAGCCTTGCTCTTCCAAACGATAAAACGAATTCCGAGTAGGATAAATTTAAACTCGTTTCAAAGTACACTGCCAAGATAAAGCCGCCCATATTAATTCTCTCTAAAACAGCAGTTGCAACATGACGAATCACGGAATTAACTCGAGATATTTAGCACATCTTAGTTCAGCGGTTCTCAAACTGTGGTCCGCGGCGACGGTTGAAGGGGTCCCGGCTGATTTGAGGATCACCCTGTATATGTGTCCATGTGAGTAAAAACAGCGGCGCACAGACACAACTAAAGGGAAGAAAATTAAAACAAATGCAAATTTAATAACTCGAGCAAAATAAGCGAAACTGCACTGAACGTACGGTTGAATGCACTGACCGTAGATTCAAATAAACACTTGTCAACTACGAACACATGGGACACGAGGCGACAAAGACAATCACAAGACATTACTTCAAAATCCGTCTTTACAAGTGGACCGGCGTGGAGAGTTCGGCAGTAGCAGTGTCAATATATAATAAATATTTTTTTTAATTACACAATATATTTCTCGCGATACTGTATTACATAAATGACACTGATAAAACACTATCAAATGATCTGTGCCGCGAGAGGCGCTCCGGAATATTATTTCTCACTATAAACATTGTGTTTGCAATTAACACGCTATTTATTTTGTACGATGTGTTAGCGAGTGATTGCTTTATTCAACTCTGCAGAAATAGCGGTACTGCGATTCCCCTGGCCAAACGAGCCAATTATGTTTTGGCCATAAAAAAACTGAAAACCTAAAATCCCTTTGGGTTTTAGCAATACGTCCAAATTTATTTACCGTCTAATGACTTCAAATATATAATTGCAACACGAGCTAGAAACCCGCTCGTGGGAAACTTGATTAGCAGATTTTAGTTATTTACCCACCCAGCTTATCGGTACAGTGATCTCCCATGTAATGTTCGCCGAGCCCCCTAAAGGCACAGTGAATACGGCACTAAGGTAAATGCCTCCCCCTCTTTTAAAAGAAAAACACGTTCCAGTTAAGTAAAAACAACACTGTATATTAGGTACTTTAAAAATAAATACATAATCGAATACATATATGACAAACTACCGGCATATTGCCGCGCAACAAGTAGGCAGCGCGGCCGTAGCCTGATTTCCACTTCCGGACACCGCAGCGTACGGTCGCGGAATGTCAAGCTCCGACGGAGCGGCGATAACGGCCCAGCAGGGCCGTGGCGATAAGGCATTTACTGCTGAGTTGGATTATTCTGTTCATCTGCCACCCCTGCCAACTGGTCGCACTGTTTTAAATTCTGTGTTTCTGCACGCGGACGTTAAAGGACGTCCTTACAGAGTTGAGGATTTCCGCGATGCAGTGAGCCACGTAGGACTGCTCGCCGACGTGGTGTCTTTGGGTTCTTACCAGATGAACCACGTGTGGCTCGTGACCTTCAAAGGCAACGAAAGCAAGAAGAAACTGGTTGAAACTCGGGAGCTTCTGGTTAAAGACCGCCGTTGCCTCGTCTTCGACCCCAATGGACAGAACGTTCGTCTCAAGATCCACTGGATGCCTCACCACGTTTCGGATGACGAGGTGCGTACCGCTCTGTCCCAATACGGGAAAGTAACTGAAGTCACAAGGGAAAAATGGCGAGTGCAAGGGTGCGAGGCCATCGAATCCACTACGCGGATAGTCCTCATTACTTTGAAAGCGGGCGTCACTGTGGAAACCCTACCGCACCAGGAACGAATAGCCGGTGGGATCACGCTCGTGGTGGCACCTGGACGCGCCCCGCTCTGCCTCAAGTGCCACCGCACTGGCCATATCCGTCGTGAGTGTCGTACACCACGTTGCAACCAGTGTCGTCGGTACGGACATGAGACCAACAATTGCGTTCGGTCCTACGCGGCTGTTGCTGGCCCTGTAGGAGGGGAAGATACGTCCGACTTCAACATGGATGAGGCGGAGGCCAATGAGGCAGGAGCTCCGAAGGAGGCGGTGCCCGAATCAACGCCGGAGACAACGAATAGAGGCAAGATGGCAGCCGTGAGCAGCGATAAACCATCTGGTGCTGCCGCTCTAACAGTTTGTTTGGTCAGGACTGATGCCTGTTCGAGCGTCGCATCCTCAGAAGACCATGAACAGTCGTGCACCGGTAGAGAGGAAACCAAGGACATCACCATGGCTGAAGCTGGCACCCTGGCCGTTAAAAGGACACGAGAGACGGAGCCAAGGGTGACAGGCGCCTCCAGTGTATGCGCAGATGCTGAGCCGCCATGGAAAACGCTGCCCGGCCGGTCTCCCCGTGCTGCGTCAAAGTTGGACCCTACCTTGAATTCTCGGGGAAAGGGGGTGTCTGGTTCATGACCCGAAAGGCCTGCGTTTGGTGAGGATTTCTGTCTCCGCAGTGTTCCTTTACTTTTATATCTAAGGAGAAGATAAAGCTCGTTAACCCAGTAAGATTCGGGACTCTGAACGTTCGGGGCCTGTCCACGAGTCGTAAACTGTATCAGGTCCGAAGAGTCCTGGGGGATAACGATCTGGACGTCTTCGCGGTACAGGAAACGAAAGTGGAAAGTGAGGAAGCTACCGAGAGGCTAGTCCAGCCTTTTCAGGCTAGTTTTGATGTTTGCGTTAGTCACGCCAAAGGTTCGTCTGGGGGATGCTTCTTGTTTATTAGAAGGGCGTTAAGTCCTAGTGATTATGTTATTACCGTAGATGAGGTCGGTAGGCTCATAGTGTGTGATTTTGTCATGTATGACATGACAAAGCAGTTCGAAGCGGAGCAGTTCGAAGATATAAATTTTATGCTAACGCCTTCCTCGTATCTTGGTGTGCCTCTTCAACATTATAAAAGGAGTAATGCGCATTGGTCGGCAGTGATTGACGAAACTCGGCGAACGGCGCAGAAGTGGGAAGGATGCGCCTTTTCTGTCTTCACTCGCGCCACAATATGCAATGTGTTTTTAATTGCCAAAATCTGGTATGTTCTACAGGTCATCAGTTGTTCTCGCATTAACATTCAAAGATTGCATCGTGTTTTTGCGGTATTCATATGGCAGTCAAGTTGGGAGAGACTAAGCCGAGACAACCTTTTTTGTCGCGTATCCAAGGGGGGCCTCTCGTTGTCACACCTATGGGTGAAACAGATTGTATCAAGATTTATGTTTCTTCGAGATCAAGTAGATCCTTTTCTACGCACAGCGATACAAACAAGACTGTCCGAACAAGTGCCTTTGTTTGTTGTGTCGTCATACAATCATGGGTTTTGTCGACTCAGTGCATTCTTGAGCGAAGTTGTAACCGCCTTTCAGATTCTGTCTGTTCGTTTTTCTTTAGAGTATCTTTCTGGAGTAACGCGAAAACGCCTGACGCATGATTTATATGATGTTCTTTTCCCTGTGCCATTGTATCGCATCGGATGCTGCGAGCGTCGAGATCAAGATGTTCTGAGACGCGTTAAAAGGATGCATGTCCAGCCTTCTTTGAAAACGTTTTTCTTTAAACCTCATACAAATACGCTTCCTGTAAAGAAGTGGCTGAAGGACAAAGGCATTTTTGTTCCATGGGGAGACCATTGCTTTTTATGTAAAAAACCAGAAACAATTGAACATGTTTTTATAGAGTGTTGGGATGCTCTGTTCTTTTGGGACGTCTTGCAAAGAACCTTGAAAAAAGATTTACCGGTAACCTCCCATGGCATTAGATTTTTAAACACAGATCCAGATGACACGATTCCTTTAGATATGATCATGCTCATCGGTCTTCATAGCATCTGGAAAAGTCGAATGGCTGTGAGAAATGCTGATGTTTTCATACGGCCTGTGCGCAAATATTTCACTGAAACAATTTGTGAACTGACTGCAGCGTACAAAACTGCGTTTCCCACCGTAGAGTGGTTGCCATATTTTGAAGAATTGAAAGAGTTTTAATCCTACTCAACATTAGCACTGCAATCTCTGTGGTACTGTAGCGTAGTAGCTGGATTTCATTTGTATGTGTGCGCGTCTCTGTAAAAACACCGGCAATAAATAAAAAAAAAAAAAGCGCGGCCGTAGCCTAACGGTTATCGCGCTTACCTCCCACGCGAAGGGCCAGGGTTCGATTCCTGGCCGCGGCTATGCATTTTTGTTAACACTGTAATGTGATGTTCTGGTGAAATCGAGAACCGTCTAGCTGATTCGAGGTCAGAATTTTCTACGCGTCGAACCTTCTACGTCGAATGCTCCAGAAGCCAACGTGTGTACAAAAGCGGCTCCGCAGGCAAGCCGGAGTCAGTTTCGCTCCAGCGTTCGACTGTGCTGCTACGCCGACTTCGACGCCCGCGACGCTCTGTTATTATCTTTGTTCTCCCTTTATTTTTTTGGCACAAGTTCGCCACATTAAACGTTTATTTCTTCCCGTTTATTTCCTTTTATTTTGGTCACCATCCGTGACAATATACCTTCGTTACTTCATCACAACTAGCCACAAGCACTGCACAACAAAGTATTTTTATACAATTTTTCACGACACTGATTGTTTCTTATAGTATTTCATAGACAATTTGTAATGATAGGCGACCGGGCAGTTTTTCATGACTTGAGAACATATCTTCCAATAGTTCTGATCCCCACACGTTCTGCTCCTGGAAGACTTCGTAGAAGGTTGAGCACTTTCGTGTAGTTCGTTCCACACTACAGCAGAATCGTTCAATCTAAAAAATAAAAGGAGAGAAAAACACCATGAACGGTTATAGGGTCTAGTCACGTGCTGAGTCATCGCCCAGAAACATGACCACCAAACGATAAAGCAAAACTGATTCGCGAGAGTTGTGATAAATGAAAGACACAGCAAACTCGCCAATGGGATAGCTGCTTTTGCCTTCGGTGGCCATACTTCTGTGTTGTGACTCGGCATCAAAAGGCAGTCTGACGTCATATAAATACTTGTAACCTCCTTGCCTACTAGCCCCGAGAACGAACGCAAGCGTCGCTGTTGTTCGAGGCGTTCGAGATCGTTTCATAGGTCACAAGGAAAGGGTACAGAGAGTTTAATCGCAAAAGATTACAATCGCACGAATAGAAATATAAAAAATGGCGCCAAACATAAAGCAAAAATTTACGGTGAAGTTATCAGCGGCCAATCACCAACCGTCCGCAACGTGGGTACTAAAGGTGTCGCGAACCAGCCGACGTTCGAGTTCGACCAGGTTCGAGCTTCTCGAACCTTTCCCGCAAAGTCCGACAACGTGCGTACTCGGGCACACGTACGCCCAAGTATGCATGCGCCACTCAAACACGCACGAATTAGGCACTCATACGCATGCGCGAATACAGATACGCGGATGCACGCGCAGGCACGGATGCAAATTCACGTACACACGCGCAAGCCCACCCGCGCACACGTACGCACGAATTACACACGCACGTGCACGCGCGCACTCGCACAGGCACGCGCACTTATGAGCAGGCAAACGCCCACGCGTGCAAACACGCACGCACATGCACGTATAACACGCACACAGATACGCGGGTATATATACTCACGCGTAGGCATGAAAACACGCATGTGCATGGGGGGCACGCACATAAGCATCCTCGCTCATGCAGGCGCACACGCGCAGACACGGAAGCGCGAGCACGCACATAATAGAAAAACTAGACAAAACGTCACAAGGTGTATCGATGAAACGAACGCCGGCTATTTCCGATGGAACGATTTATCCTTGAAAAAGTGCAGCTTCGAAGAAACGAGCTGTCTAAAACGTCGTCTGACGAACTGACTGCATGGCACCGCGTATGTTCGGAATGTATAGTACATAAAACAGCGGTCACTAAAACAGGCACACAAAAAGCATAACTGTTTCCAGTGCTTCGTGAGAAATCGACGGACCCCAGTTGCCGAAACAAATCTTGCATTCACAGAAATACACATACAACAGAGAGGGATTCTAACCACGGTCATCTCCCCATAAAAATAAACTACGCATTGCCAAATGCTCAGCCTCCGCCCAAATGTAGCCTAGCGACAGAGACTAATGTATTTTCGCGGCGAGAAAAACATGCTCCGGATTTCTTTCGAACGCACTCTAAAGAAATGTATATTATATCTACGATCAAAATTCGCGCCCCTTTTAGAGGAAGAAATGTAGTACTTACCGTACCAGAAGGAGCGTCGTTCTTCTGCCTGTACGATCGCTTTGACCACGCACAGTCTGCAACGACGGTAACAAGCGGATAGCCTTCGGCATCGATCTCGCCAGATTCCTTCGCGCGCCTTGCTTCTTCCACTCCGGCCTGTTGCATGGCTTCCCAAGCGGCATCTTCAACACCCCGAGTCAATTCGTTCTCGCAGCGCTACGACACAATGACTCAACCTCACCTGAAACCTCACCATCCGTAGTTTCAGCAGAGACCTTTCGCTTGCCATATTTATACCTCTTTGGACCCATAGCTGCGAGGACGGCCTTTCTAGTTATAAAAACACGCACAGCTATCCGCCTGACACCACACCCCGAGAAACAAAACCACTCTGTCTGGACGGGTCTTGCCGTCTCTGGACCACCACAAGCGCGTTACTGAAGAGCGCATGCGCGCGGAGTAATACAAAATCAGAGCAGCGTGCGTGGCGAAATGGTGGCGCCCTCACGCGGCGCTCGTCAAACTAGTCTTGACCGTCCAAACGAGGAAAACAAGCCACAACACCTTGGTTCAGTTTTTTCGATGTAGTTAAAGAACGGATGTACTTACAGCTCTAATTTTAATATAATTGAATTCCGTGTTAAATTCCGCAGATATCCCACAAGACACATTCGTAGTTCAAAATTCACAGGTTTTTAAAAACGCGTTCTAACGTAAACATGTCAAAACAGCCAATTCCGACCGATTTCACGATTTAATATAAAATATAATAAATGTTTTTATGAAAAATATGCTCTGAGGGATAGTTGGACGAAGAATCAATCTTTTTATAGCAAAAAAGTTTGAAAATATCGGTGTAACGGTTATTAAATGAGAATTTTCGTAAAATGGCAGAAAATCGCGTGTATTCTCTATGGGGCTTGGAGGAGCGCTCCCTCTTAAACAGAAAAGGTGCGCAGACTAGGCTTAGAACGATGGAGACTTTTTGCGAAGAGGTTGCAATGTGCAGGGCCTTATAAAAGTAGGTTGAAACGGGACGCGTTTAAAAGCAAAAGGTGTTTCTAAAACTGGTTCAGATAAGAAAGGCGTTTAGGGAATGGGTCGAAACAGGACAAATTCAAACGAGAAGGGCGTTTAGGGAACTGGTCGACACAGGACGGGTTCAAAGCTCGTTTCGGGAACGGGTCGAAACGGGACGGGTTCAAACGGGAATGGGTTGTCTCGGGCTACAGCCATCGGGCCGGGTCGGGCGGGGCTTAGAAATTGAAAATTCTGTCGGGCTCGGGCCGGGCCCGGGCCGTGTCTCTTC